ATACGTAATGTAATGCCACTGCCCACGGGAGAGCTGGGTGTAGTAGAGGAGAGGAGACATGTTGTTGAATATGTGTAATGCAGGTAGGAACTCTGAATACCAGGAAAGATGTCCATGTAAATTTTTTTTATATCATTAATGTACAATTACTTGAACAACATTATGGTTACTAGACTCCCCCTATTATCAAGTCCCCACCACATACCCCATTACAGTCACTGTCCATCAGCATAGTAAGATGCTATAGAATCATTACTTGTCTTCTCTGTATATACTACCTTCCCCATGCCCCCCTGCAACATTATGTGTGCTAATCGTAATACCACTTTTTCCCCCTTATCCCTCCCTTCCCACCCATCCTCCCCAGACCCTTTCCCCTTGGTAACTGTTAGTCCATTCTTGGGTTCTGTGACTCTGCTGCTGTTTTGTTACTTCAGTTTTTTGTTTGTTCTTATACTCCACAGATGAGTGAAATCATTTGATACTTGTCTTTATCTGCCTTACTTATTTCACTGAGCTTAATATCCTCTAGCTCCATCCATGTTGCTGCAAATGGTAGGATTTGTTTTCTTCTTAAGGCTGAATAATATTCCATTGTGTATACATACCACCTCTTCTTTATCCATTTATCTACTGATGGACATTTAGGTTGCTTCCATTTCTCGGCTATTGTAAATAGTGCTGCGATAAACATAGGGGTGCATATGTCTTTTTCAAACTGGGCTGCTGCATTCTTAGGGTAAATTCCAAGGAGTGGAATTCCTGGGTCATATGCTATTTCTATTCTTAGTTTTTTGAGGTTAACCTCCATACTGCTTTCTACAATGGTTGAACTAATTTACATTCCCACCAACAGTGTAGGAGGGTTCCTTCCCCTTTCTCCACATCCTCGCCAACATTTGTTGTTGTTTGTCTTTTGGATGGTGGCCATCCTTACTGGTGTGACGTGATATCTCATTGTGGTTTTAATTTGCATTTCTCTGATGATTAGCGATGTGGAGCATCTTTTCATGTGTCTGTTGGCCATCTGAATTTCTTCTTTGGAGAAGTGTGTGTTTGGATCCTGTGCCCATTTTTTAATTGGATTATTTGCTTTATGTTTGTTGAGGTGTGTGAGCTCTTTATATATTTTGGATGTCAACCCTTTATCGGATCTGTCATTTTTGAATATATTTTCCCATACTCTAGGATGTCTTTTTGTTCTATTGGTGGTGTCCTTCGCTGTACCGAAGCTTTTCAGCTTGATAAAGTCCCACTTGTTCATTTTTGCTTTTGTTTCCCTGGCCTGGAGAGATATGTTCATGAAGAAGTTGCTCATGTTTATGTCCAAGAGATTTTTGCCTATGTTTTTTTCTCAGAGTTTTGTTTCATGATTTACATTCAGGTCTTTGATCCATTTTTAGTTTACCTTTGTGTATGGGGTTAGACAATAATCCAGTTTCATTCTCTTACATGTAGCTGTCCAGTTTTGCCAATGCCAGCTGTTGAAGAGGCTGTCATTTCCCCATTGTATATCCATGGCTCCTTTTTCATATATTAATTGACCATATATACTTGGGCTTATATCTGGGCTCTCTATTATGTTCCACTGGTCTGTGACTCTGTTCTTGTGCCAGTACCAAACTGTCTTGATTACTGTGGCTTTGTAGTAGAGCTTGAAGTCAGGGAGCATAATTCCCCCTGCTTTATTCTTCCTTCTCAGGATGGCTTTAGCTATTCAGGGTCTTTTGTTGTTCCATATGAATTTTAGAACTATTTCCTCTAGTTCATTGAAGAATGCTGTAGGTATTTTGATAGGGATTGCATTGAATCTGTAGATTTCTTTAAGCAGGATGGCTGTTTTGACAATATTAATTCTTCCTAGCCAAGAGCATGGGATGAATTTCCATTTGTTAGTGTCCTCTTTAATTTCTCTTAGGACTGTCTTGTAGATTCCCGGGTATTGGTCTTTTACTTCCTTGGTTAGGTTTATTCCTAGGTATTTTATTCTTTTTGATGCAATTGTGAATGGAATTGTTTTCCTGATTTCTCTTTCTGCTATTTCATCTTTAGTGGATAGGAATGCAACCAATCTCTGTGTTTTAATTTTGTGTCCTGCAACTTTGCTGAATTCAGATATTAGATCTAGTAGTTTTGGAGTGGATTCTTTAGGGTTTTTTATGTACAATATCATGTCATCTGCAAAGAGGGACAATTTGACTTCTTCCTTGCCAATCTGGATGCCTTTTATTTCTTTGTGTTGCCTGATTGCCATGTCTAGGACCTCCAGAACTATGTTGAATAGAAGTGGGGAGAGTGGGCAACCTTGTCTTGTTCCCGATCTTAAAGGAAAAGCTTTCAGCTTCTCACTGTTAAGTATAATGTTGGTTGTGGGTTTGTCATATATGGCCTTTATTATGTTGAGGTACTTGCCCTCTATACCCATTTTGTTGAGAGTTTTTATCATGAATGGATGTTGAATTTTGTGAAATGCTTTTTCAGCATCTATGGAGATGATCATGTGGTTTTGTCCTGCTTTTTATTGATGTGGTGGATGATGTTGATGGATTTTTGGATGTTGTAGCATCCTTGCATCCCTGGCATGAATCCCACTTGATCATGATGGATAATGTTTTTGATGTATTTTTGAATTCAGTTTGCTAATATTTTGTTGAGTATTTTTGCATCTATGTTCATCAGGGATATTGGTCTGTAATTTTCTTTTATTGTGGTGTCTTTGCCTGGTTTTGGTATTAGAGTGATGCTGGCCTCATAGAATGAGTTTGGAAGTATTCCCTCCTCTTCTATTTTTTGGAAAACTTTAAGGAGAATGGGTATTAGTTCTTCACTAAATGTTTGATAAAATTCAATGGTGAAGCCATCTGGTCCCGGAGTTTGTTCCTTGGTAGTTTTTTGATTACTGTTTCAATTTCTTTGTTGGTAATTGGTCTATTCAGATATTCTGTTTCTTCCTGGGTCACCTTGGAAAGTTGTATTTTTGTAGGAAGTTGTCCATTTCTTCTAGGTTATTCAGTTTGTTACCATATAATTTTTCATAGTATTCTCTCATAATTCTTTGTATTTCTGTAGTGGTCATGCAACCTTTCCAATCTGTCTTGAGATGATCTCTTCTACTTTCTGAGTCTGTGATTCTGTGAGTCTTCCCATGGAGCCAACTGGTGCCTTGTACTCAAAAGTCAGTGGGCCGTGACCTAAAAAGAGATGATGCATCCCTGAGAAGTGGTAGCACAGAGACACAAAGGCCCCATTAAAGAACACGGGTTTTCTTACGGCCCTGGTGGTGAGAGTGGACAAGCCCATCAGCAAAAGCTGGGAAGAGGGAGGCCTCTCTGGAGGTTGTCGGGGCTCTGAAATACTTGAAGTGCCTTAATCAGGGTCTCCTAACACAGGGCAGCAGAAGGCCAGGGGTCTGTGGACACCATGCAGTGACAAGGATCTGCTTAGATGTCTCCCCAGCTTCACACACTGCACTGAAGCCCACTGCTGAGAGACCCCTACAGACCCCAGCTCCCATGATGGACCCAGTCACCTATGCAGGTGGGAAGAGAGAGAAGGAAAGAAGGATTTTCCAACTTGAGGAAAGAGCTTATATTAGTTGCTATTTGAAATCCTGCTGCTGCTAAGACACCTAGAATTGTCAGGTTTAGTAGCTGGGAATCACCACTGAGACTTCAATGCTGGTGAAACTGCAGGAGACTGGCCCCTGGGGACTGCGGTTCTTTCCTCCCTGTCATCCCTACTAGTCTGTGAAGTCCACCAGGAAGGGTGCCCTTCGTTCTCATGCACAGCTGCAGCCCCACAGCCACCTCAGTAGCTGGCCCTCAGCGATTACTTGTTGAATGAATTCATAAAGTGTAAAAGTTATTTCAGTTATCACTACTCACCTCATTTTAAAGTTCAAGCTTTGACATTTTAAATTCCTGGATGCTGTCCCCTGACCTCACTGATCCTTAGGTCCCTGACCCAGTCCTACCCCCTAAGGTTGTTGCTAGCATGACTGAGAGGATGCATGTGACATTTTGCAAACTCTGAGGACAGTGCCATGCAAGGCAAGAGGCAGTACAGGGCCATGAAAGGGGGGCCCAGCGGTGGAACTTTCCTGAACCTGCTCTTGACATACTTTAAAAGTCCCCCTCCTTACAGAGTCCTGGTACCACTGGAGTCGTTTCCCAGCCTCCTCCATCCCTGCCAGCTGGGCCATCTCTCCTGTCTTCAGAATTCAGACTTGCTCTCCATCTGCTCCCTTGAATGGATAGTTCAAACTGTCCTCTGCTCCTTTTCCTCCATACACCAGCTGCCCAGCTCACCCCTGTAGCCAACCCTGGCCCTGGAACCCCAAATTGAAAATCAGAAGTGCCTCTAACTGCCTTGAGGAGTACCTTAAAGTTAATAATCCAATCAGAGGCATAGGTTTTAAAAGTCACAGATTTGTTCCTCTCATGTCTGTTTTAGATTTGGAAATGAAGAAATTGAGATTATATTCTCAGGCTTGGAGAACAGCTAGAGGCTTCAAGGCCTCAGTCTGTGCTACTGTGGTCTGGGGCCACAGAGTGGGCCAAGAGTGGGCCAAGGCTGGGCTCGGTCATATGCCACAGTGACATTTGGTGAGAGGCGCCCCCTGCTCCCCACCTGCATCTTGGCATGTTCTGTCTTGGTTATGTAACTGGTGTACTTATAGTGCCAACTAGCACATGAGGTCCCCTGAGTTTTCATTGTTTTTACTAAACTTCCCTTTAGTTATTTTTGTTTTCTTTACCTTAATTATAAGGAGAAAGATCCTTTAGCTACATTTGAGAACCAAAGGTGTCAGGCTAAATGCATGTTTTTGATAAGCTGACATGGCCACTAGGTCTATTTTTTATGATGTGGTCTATTATTTATTATTATTTACTTGTTATTTTATAACAAGGTCCATTATTTTATGAGGTGAACACCTCAAATCCAAATTTAAGGAAGTGGAAATAACATCAAATGAAGAGTATATTTCACCCCTTCCCCAGTGAGCTGTACCTCAATGGCAGTTACTTGCAATGCTCTGGAGCTCTGGCTCTGCTCAGAGCCATCGCAGTATGTGGAGACGCAGGGCAAAGATGGGCCGGCCACACCCTCGCTTGACACCAGGAATCCCACCCAGCTACTCCAAGGTAAGCACTGGGGAACTTGGCCCTGAACTTGGTTGGGGCCACCTGAAAGAAGGGACGTGCTTTGTGATTAAAGGTGACTTTCCCAGTGGTCAGTGGAGATTCTTTCTCCTAAGTGTGTGGGGGAGCAGAATAACAGGCCCCCAAAGATGTCTGTGTCCTAATCTTCAGAACCTATGGCTATGGGACCTCACATGGCAAAAGGCCTTTGCAGATCTGGATAAATGAAGGATCCTGAGCTGAAGGAAGTATCCTGAATTATCCAGTTGGTCCAGTAAAATCACAAACATCTTTATAAGAGGGAGGCAGGGAGAAGGAGATGGGACAGTGGCGGGAGAGGTTGGAGTGAGGTGAGGAGAGGGCCCTGGGCCAAGGAATGTAGGCGGCCCATGGCAGCTAGGAAGGGCAAGGAAAAGAATTCCTCCCCGGAACCTCCAGAGGGAAGCAGCTCTGCCCCTGCTTTGGCTTTGTTCGTAAGACCCATTTCAGACTTCTGACCTCCAGAACTGTAAAACAATAAACCTGAATTGCTTTAAGCCACTAAATTTGTGGTCATTTGTTACAGCAGCGATAGGAAAACAGTACAGCATCTAATCAGAACTTGTTCGGTTAAAAGTGAAAGCAACCCAGACAGAATGAAGGTGAACAGGAGTTTGGTGGCTCACAGAACTGGGACGTGCACAGGTGGGGCTGTCGTCAGAGAGCACTGAATTCAGGGAGCAAACTGTCATCAGGAGACCCAGTGTGCGCTGCTCTTTACTTCCCTGCTGCGGGTTGGTCTTCTCTCCCAGGGCAGACTTCCACCAGGCAGGGACAGCAGCTGACATGCCTGCGAGCGTGGTCGTCACCGCTGGTGGAAGTGTGAGCCTCTTTCTCCCAGTGACTGTGGGTCAGACGCCCTAGGAAGGCTCTAACTGGCCCTCCCTGGGGCACACATCTAGGCCTTGAACCAATCCCTAAGGCCCAGGCACTGGTAAAGCATAACTGGCCAGGACTGATGGCACCCCTGGGTGAGGGGTGGAGCACTGGATGGGTGGTCCTACCAGAATCCCACAGTTTGGACAGGGAAATGGCAGTCCCCCAAAGAAGCAGGCAGATGAAGAGAACAGATGCAGGACACACAAGAAGAGCAGCTGCTCACTCCCCTGTGGAGGGTTTATCATTTGTTCTCATAGATCCCAAGAACATCTGTTCATGACACATTTCAAAGCAGGCTACTTTCAAACCTTAGTACAGTAAGCTATAGCAAGTGGCTAATCCAACAGGCTTAGAGTCAGACCTGTGTTCAAATTCTACCTCAGCTGTGAATGACTTTGGGCAAATTATCAAACCAAGCTAATTTCAGCTTCTCTCCAAAATGATAACTACCCCATAGGGTTTACTTAGGATAAAATGACACAATGTAAAGCAGTTAGCACAAGGCCCTGTACACAGTAAGTACTTGAGGGATATTAATGATCATCATCACCATCATCATTAGAGCAAAAACAGCCTCTTCCCAGGAGAGTAAAATCTTGAAGCAGTCTGGTGAACACACTCACTCCACCTGCTGGAAAAATGAAGGTAAATGGCTGGAGTCCAATGATAACTACAGTCAACAGTATTATACTGTAATATTTGAAAGCTGCTAAGGAAGTAGATCTCATTACAAGAAAAAAATGAGACTATGTATGGTGATGGATGTTAACTAGACTTATCATATTGATAATTTTACAATATATACATATATAAAGTCATTATGGTGTACACCTGAAAACTAATATAACATTATTTGTCAATTATATATCAATTTAAAAAAATTACTCAGACTTGCCCTATTAAAAAAAGGAGCTGAAGTCGATTCTGCTTTGTAGAAATAAGTGCAAAGAACTTGTATCTAATAGAGATTCACAAATACAATGGTTTTCCCCATTAAGGAACTTTCATGATGTCAGAATTATATAAGCTATTTGTTGAATTTGATAATTCAATCAGCTCAATACATATGCAAAAAGAAGCTAGAAAATAATATTTGCTCTCAAATATTACTTTCCCTCTGCTATTTTTATTAACATTCCTATAAAAAGCCAGAGTCCTGTTTATAGCAGTCCTGTAGTATAACTTTGGGATCTAAATCAGTGAATCTGTGATTAAAAAAAAAATCGTTGAAAATATAAAAGCACCATCTCAAGGGACTGGTGTGTGGCAGGCAGAGACAGGTGTGAGAAGTGTGTAATTGGAAAGGTAAAGATGTGACAAGAATGTGGGCAAGAAATGAGGAGATCTCTAATTCCACTTGTTCCAAGTGGTTTCTGCTGAAAGAGCAGTTCAGCTTTCACCCTGAAGGGGTCCAGATCTGTTTTCCTGGACAGCCAGAAAAGCCAGGGTCAGAGCTGAGCCCAGAGCGCGAGCCGGCCCTACAGGTCTTCACAGCAGCCCTGGACAGGGGAGGCTGCCCCAGCTGGGCAGGGCCTGTGGTCAGGGGTCCACACACAGGTGTCTTTTAAGTTCCTCCCATTTCTCAGGCTGTCAGCAATGACAACAACAAAGCCCACCACAAGTACATTTCTAGGCCCTTCTCTCCCCTAAGGCTATGACTGTCTCTGACACGCACATACACTTGAACCTTGATATTTGCCACATTCACCTGGTACATCTTAGCCATTCTGCATTCTTTTGGGTTACTGTATTCGTCTGCTCAGGCTGCCGTAACAAAATAACGTAGGCTGGGTGGCTTAAACAACAAATTAATTTTCTCACAGTTCTGGAGGTTAAAAGTCCCAGATCAAAGTGCCAGCTGACCTGGTTCCTGGTAAAGCACTCTTCCTGGTTTGCAGATGGCTGCCCTCTTGCCATGTCCTCACATGGCCTTTGCTAGGTGTGTGCAGGCACATAGAGAAGGAGAGAGAGCCCTCTGGTATCTTTCTGATAAGGATGCTAATCTTATCAGGTCAGGGCCCCACCCTTATGACCTCTTTTAACCTGAATTACTTCCTTACGAGCTGCATCTCCAAATACATCCACACTGAGGGCTCACTGTATGAACTGGGGGATGGGAGGGGGTCAGGGACACAGACCTTCAGTCCATAATAGCAGCATGCATGCTAGTCCAGAGTAAAAGTGCTTTCTCTTTCAGAGCAGGATCCACAGACCTCTGCTCTGGCAAATTAGTTTCCTCATCTTGATTTCACTTTTTGCCGGCAGGAGTAGCCATAAGTGAAAACAGGGGCGTATAAGGCAAGAAAGGTGATTATGGTATGTTACCAGTCCTCTCCTGGCCACAGAGAAGTGTGGGACCCAGGTTCTGCCACCCTAAGACATGATTGTTGAGATGAGGAACCTAAAGAAGAATTTGCTCATGTTTTAGGTTGTCTGGGATTTTCCAGTGGATGATAGTGGGTATCAAATTGCTTGGAATTTACATTCCATTTGATACATTTAAAAGAAGGGTATAACAGATATTACTTAAAAATGTCAGTATGTGCCATATGCTAGAAATCTTATTCTTTGAAATTTTATAATTTAGGATGAACAAGTTTAGATGCCAACGTAAAAGTATATAAGATAATACATAGCTTTTCAGACGTTATGAGAGTGACAGTGTTTTGAGGCCACTGCTTTGTAAGGCCCAGATGTCTGATTTTTCTCTCCTGTTCTGTGAGCTCTGCCCAGGCCTCCCAGTAAATCCCCTGCCGGCCAGAGTCAGGCACTGCGGCTTTCTGTAACAAGTGCATCCCAACCCAACGAGTTTTCTTCTTGCAGTAACATGTAAAATGCAGTCTTAGTAATGATGCTCCTACCTTCCTTCATCAGCTTCCTTCATCAGATGTGTGCATGACCACTTGTGTCTCTCCTAATACATACCAAGTACTCTTCCTGGTGCTTGGGTTATGTTAGTGCACAGAACAAAGATGCCCACCTGTGAGGAAGAGGCTGGGAATGCAGCGTGCATGCGTGTGCATGGATGTGTGTGCGCAAGTGTGTGTGTGCGGCAGTGGGGGGAACCAGACAGCTTTTTAAAGGCACGATACATATACAAGTGCTATAGTTTGTTAGGTAACTGCTATGGAGAAAGAAAGGGTCAAACAATTTTGGGAGTCTGGGAAAGGAAGATGGATGGGGTATGATTTTGAATAGCTAGTTGAGGAAAGGTGGCATTCTCATATGGATCCAGGAACTCAAGGATAAATGGGGAGAGCATTCCAGGTGGAGGCAACAGCCAGCCCCAAGGCCCCAAGGAACAGTGGGGTAACTCGGTGAAAGCAGGGGGCAGGGGTTCAAGGGCTTTTTTATCAAGGAAGGAGCAGAGGAGTTAGGACTTAGGACTGGTTCTGAGAAGGACCTCTTAATCTTTGTGGCAGACAAACTGGGAGAGCACAGGGGGGCATGCTGGCTTGGGGGAGGCTGTTGTCATCCAGGTGAGAGGTGGTGGTGAGAGATGAGACTAGGCTTGTGGCAGAGGAGGTCAGGTTCCACATCTACACCATTTCATGGATGGGATGTGGAGTGCAAGAGAAAGAAGAAGGGCCCAGAATGACTCCAGACAATACTATACTAATACGTGTTTTGTTAAACATGCCAAAAATGTGTTCCTCTCTATTACATGCTGACTAACTCCAGAGATCTGGAGCCATGTTTACAGAGGCAGCTGTGGAATGTAAAGAAGAATTTACACAAGGCCTTGTGGGATAATTTTGGGGGGCCCTACATCGTTTCATGGTCTCCTCAGGCATCAGAGGAAACATGAAAAAGGCCTGAATGGCTGTGAATGTGTTTTTGACAATGGGTTAGATATTTCTCTTAGGAGAAATCTCTCTGCCCAAAGTGTACCTAAAATTAAGGCAATAACCAATATCGAAGAGTGTCAAAAACCCATTCATGCAACACTGAATGGGCTCTTCTTTTTTTAATCTTTTTTTTTCATGTAGCCAGCCAAAGGGGAAGGTCAACTCTGAACCAGATTACAGTAAAGTCACCTGGAGCTGTAACAGGGAAAGCTTCTGCAGGGAAGAAGAAGAGGAAAACAGGTACTTTTGTTGTTTCCACTATTCCTCCCACTGCCTTCATCTTGTGAGTCACTTCCTCTTTCACGCACTGCACATTCCCACTGCGGAAGTAATCACCCCAACCGAAAAAGTCAAGTGGAAAAAGAGAAGATTCAGTGTTTTATGCTTCATTGAAACTAAAGACAGATTAGCAATATCCACCAGAGGAATTCGTTACTGGCACATTAAACAAGGCCAAAACACAATCATGGGGCCGAGGCTGGTTTGGGGCTATCTCTGTGTTAAACAGCTGAAGAACCGGAAACATTCAGCTTGGCAGCTTCTGTCCTACGCTCATTATAGGCACACCTGGTTTTATTGAGTTTCCCTTTATTGTGCTTTGCAGATATTGCATTTTTGTTTTGCTTTGTTTTGTTTTGTTTTATATTTATTTACTGATTTAAATTTTGTTATCATTAATCTACAATTACATAAAGAACATTATGTTTACTAGGGTCCCCCCTTCACCAAGTCTCCCCCACAAACCCCATTACAGTCACTGTCCATCAACGTAGTAAGATGTTGTAGAATCACTACTTGTCTTCTCTCAGCCCCTCCCCATTCCCCACCGCACATTATACATGCTAATCTTAATACCCCCTTTCTTCTTCCCCG